TGATGGTCCACACACAGGGCAACGCTGGGCCTTCTCGACTGCACTGCAATCTCTAGCGCGGACGAGAGGGTAAGTGACTGGGATGTATGCACGTGATGACATGCGTGTGATATAGCCAGTGTGACAGTGCGCGCTATCACATTGCACTGCAATTTCTAGCGTAGAAGAGCTGTTAGGATTGGGGCTGTGTGCGTCAGAACGGACAGATTGGCGACCGAAGGATAAACACTAGGAGCAACGTGGACAAATGACAGGCCACCTGATCTGTGGTTCGCAAGTTCGACTGCTCTGCCAGTGTACTGCAATCTCTAGCGTGAACGAGCTGTCGTCATGTATGCATGTCATTGGCTATGCACATGCGGCGAGGTATGGGTGTGACCAGTCATATAATCCTTCCTGCGGCATGCTCACCGGAAAGCTATCTCGATTGAGAATACTCAGTCTTAATCTTGCACTGCAATTCTTAGCGTCGAAGAGCAGTTCACACAAGGCTGATCTTGTACGTGGTTGGACGCCACAATTCAGATGTTCAAACAATATTTTGGGCCACTGCACTGCAATTTCTAGCGCGGACAAGCAGTCTTACGGGTTTTATACCAGGCTGCTGAGATGAACGATAGCAGGAGCTCGTCCAATGGCGGATGCCTCGTCACCGGAGGAATAGGGAAATGTTCTGGAAAACTGCGCCTGCACTGCATTCCTTAGCGTAGAAGAGCAGCTGGAGGGCGAGGCGGGAAAGACAAGGCTGAAGGTTCAACAGCCCGCACTCCGATTTCTAGTGTCGATAAGAGGATGGGTGACAAGGCTGACACGATAGATAAGGGAAAGCTTCATGAGTTTACAGCCTTTATTCAGTTCCACAAGGTTGTTTGGTCGCTGGAAAGGTAGGAGAGAAAGACCATACTAATGGGTCATAAATGTCATCAGTTGACTCTGCGCCTCTTTAGATTTACTCAAACGTCTCAACCATTTCAAAGTGCGCCGATCCCTCGTCCCAGTATATTGGCATGATGTACAGGAATGCTATAAGCCTTCCTCAGTGATCTATCAAGCGCGAATGAACTGTAATATCACATATGGCAGAGAACTAGGAAACGTCGGATGAGATGGCGAGGCAGAATTGGATCACGACTCCAATAGTTTCGGCCTCAATAATTTGCACTGCAATCTCTAGCTCGGGCGACCAGTTTGAACATATCCATACGAGGCTGTGCAGATGGCTGTAGCCAATAGCGAACGCTTCATCCGTGAAAGGCGGAGAATTAGACCAACGTGGACGGCTGCACTGCAATCTTTAGCTTGGAAGGATCGCTGAGCGGATGAGGCTGAAAGACCAAGACTGAAGGTGCATGTGAAACCCACATGTGAGATTTCGCATTCCTTACCCAGCGCTAGAAAATTGCCATGGACTATGAGGGACAAATTTTGAATGAGACCCGAGGTTCAGAAACATTTTGACGATCGTCATTGATACCAATCCTAGCAATTGCTACGAGATTGCTTTCGCATGGCTCTGCACTTCATTATTGTCTCTGCAGTGGATGAGTGGTAGAGCATTCGACGCTAAATTATTGAAGAACGCTTTCAGGCTTTCTAGTCTCTCTGTAGCACGCAATGGCTGTACTGCGGTTTTCAGCTTAGGCTGGATGCCAGAGAGACAAGCTCAAAAGGCTATACATGTGTCAGCTGTGTTTCCGTACCGAGGTAGGGGCCAAAACTTCATTTTGCACTGCAATCTTTAGCGCGGAAGAGCAGTCGAGACGGGGGCAGTGTGCATGATAGAAGGCGAGTAAGTCTTGAGCGTACCCAGGTGGGTATAGGCTGTCACACGAACAATTGGATGACAGCTTCCATGCACTGCAATTCCTAGCGCCGAAGAGCAGCTCGATAGGTATCAGTCCGGCTCGCAGCAATCGCTAGTGCTGGCAAGCAGCTCGAAAAGGAGGTGTCCGATCAAAGCCGGACTCTTAGACGCTGCACTGCAATTTCTGGCGCGTAAGAGCAGGTACATCATCAAGGCAGAAATCTAGCCTTGCGCGAAGATGAGGAAGAATGTGCGTAGGATGCTGAGATCGCATAGTTATAATGGATGCGGCTAGATTAAAGATATCTGAACTAACGATTTGATAAGTGCACTGTCACCTTGGGAGTAGGTGAGCAGGTCGAAGGCCAAAACGCCAAGGCGGGGAATCAGCCTTATTCGACACGAAGACGTGAGAGAAGTATGGGAAGGGGTGCTCAGCCCATCCATCATCTGCTGACTCGATCATACTGGCATGTTAGCGTCATTGAGACCGAGCCCTCACATTGGTTTCTGCGCATGCGGCTCTGCGGACTGCACTGCAATTTCTAGCGCAGAAGAGCAGGTAGAGAAAACCTTGAAAGGCTGAAGACCAGCCTTATCCGACCACACGATCGCGCTATCCGTATAAAGGCAATGGACCTTCATTAGGAATATGGGGAACAAGGCTGAAGTTCAGCCTTGTTCAGCCTGGCAACCGGTGGGTTCCAATGGGAAGTGTACTGCAATTGCTAGCGTGGAAGAGGAGGTAAGCAGACGCATCCCGTCCGAGAGTGGGCAATGCACTGTGATCTCCGGCGCAGAAGAGCAGTCGGCGATTGGGCAGTGTAGATGGGAGACAGTCACGGCACAATTTAACTAAGAAAACTCTTCTTGCACTGCAATTCTTAGCGTAAAGGAATAAAAAAGCAGCGGGGCTAAGTGCATGGAATAAGACCTTGGAGCTGATTGTAATTCGCTGGCTGCCTGAGGGACAGTGGTCTTGAGAGCATGCCCTGTTCTCGAAGACTTACTATACTCACATGAGTGTATACTGGGGCCTTTACACTGCAACGTCTAGCGCAGAAGAGCAGGTCGAACAACACGTGCGAGGCTGAACTTCAGCCTTGCGCGAGGAGAAGTTGAAAAAGGGATAAGCAAGACTGTTTGGCCCAACCTTACATTGAAGCGCTGACGATGCATATCTGAAAACGCTATTGGTTGTCTTGTTGTACCCATGTGCTCGATCCCGCGATTGAAGAAACACAAAACACTGCACTGCAATTCCTAGCGTAGAAGAGGAAGTAAGCGAACGGCTTGAGTATACAGGCCTTGTTTCTGATAAAGCCATATTTGGTACGGCACTGCGATTTCTAACGCAAAGGACCTCGTAGAGGCGAGACTGAAGACCAGCCTTACGCGACGAAGGAAGAAGTTGTTGATCGACTGCCCAGCGGAGGATGGGCCTAGGGTGCCCGGTCATCTACTTTGGGGATTGCACTGCAATTTCTAGCGTGGAGGACGAGGTAAGCGAACGGTGCTGTATGGAGGACGATGGGTGTTGACCGGCAGATGTGGGGTAGATTTCAGTGCACTGCAATCTTTAGCGCAGACGAGCAGTCAAGAACGACGAGATGGTCCTCAGCCTTGTCGTGCGACAGCAGACAGCAAGGCAGATGTGCGTACGAAAGCGGCTGCTTGCACATTTTGGGCTATGGCCACGTTGTTAGTCATTATAGGAAACTTGCACTGCAATTTCTAGCGCGGGAGACCTGTTGTTGTCTTGGCAAACTCAGACGTCGAAGGCCTGTGGTAACTCTGCAGACGCCGTAATCGACGGCTTTTGATAACTTGCCTAATGCGGCTTGTACGTCAGACAACGCGCAACACCAACGTCTAGTACCGCACAAAACCATGTTCAGACGACAACGGTGCTGGTGGTAGGAGGGTTGTGAAAGTTGCTGTGATCCACACTCTACAGAGAACTGCCTGATCAGGACTGTGGATGGTGATGTATCTGGAGGTCGTAGGCGCGCCGACATCTTGGTAGACAATATTCACCTACTATCGACACCTACCTATTCCAGCTTCCGACTACCTCTACGATTACGTTGCCTATCCCTCCAAAGACACCGGACATCAAATCCAAGAATTTCACCCAAACCCTCCATCACAACAAACCTCCCACCCGTACAAACTTCACCCCAGTTACCCGATTAGGAAGGTTTGGCTCAACTGTAGATCATAGCGAGGTGTCTTCGTGCTCCTGCGCGCCCTCGACGCGCTGCTCGACCTTGCCGTCGCCGCCGCGAGGTTTGCCATGGCCGTGCTGACAGTGTTGTTCGCCGGGATAGCTGTCGTCGCCGTGGTCGCGCAGGCCGCCAGATTCGCGCAGTCCGCACAGTTCGCGAGGTCTGCCATGTTCGCGCGGTTCGCTGAAGACGCGGCGTTCGCGAGATTCGCACACTTCGCACCGTTCGCACCCAGTACGCCCAGTACGCCCGGCTCGCCCAGCACTCCCAGGTCGCTCCCATCTCGCTCCCAGCGCGCCCAGTGCGCCCGTGGGAGCTCACCGTCATCCACACCCTTCTACAACTTGCCCGATTAGGCAACATCCCAAACCTCCACCACGACCACCAACTCTCTCCTATCTTCGAACCAACCCAACCGTGGACATTTGATCTCTCCTATCTACCATCTCAACCGCTCGGCGCTATAGCAATGCCCTTCCTGTAAATCTTTGGGCCGTGGATTTCGCGAACAGTCAATAACTTCAGAGTAGCAGATGTACACACAACAGAAGTGTATACATGCGCGTGTGCGTTAGAAGGAAAGTAGAAGAGAACGTATGGGGTGGTTGGAGTGTAGGAGAGTGAAACCGCGATCAACAGTTTTATGAGAAGTTACTAGATTAGGAAGGAGTTTGATGTGAGATGGGATGGAAATTGTTGGAAAGATGTGAAGACGTTACAAGCGTGTGATGATGTATCATAAACATGTTCGAGGGGATAAGTGTGCGACGATGTGTATATCCGAACACCACTATACACACCACCTCGATCTCTGCTCTCGAGTAAAGTATCGCAATGCTAATACAAACGCCATCATCCCTATGCGCCAACGATGCAAAACTAATTCGCTCTTCTTGAAAACCAAGGAATATCGTGCACCCGTCATGTACATGCGTCACTCCCCACTCCCACCTGCCCCATCAAAGTTGCTATGACTCCGTCTCAGCGGGCTCCTCTTCTTCTTCCCCTGTCCTCCGTTCGCACCTCCATTCCCCAGTCCCACCCCATGTCCATTCCCACCACCGCCACCCTTCTTCTTCCTCTTCTTCCCCGGACTTCCTATGCTCCCCGGCGAACCCGGCGACCGTGGCGAATCCAGCGAACCTCGCGACACCGTCTCCTCCACCTTCCCTCGTCCCTGCCCATTCTCCTGCTGCCCCGCTTCCTCCGCCTTCAGCAAATCCATAGCGCGGTCCACCTCTTCCCAACTCGGTCTACTATCCCTCGTTCCATTGGGTGTCGCAGGTCCGGATTGTGTTTCTAGGACTTGAATTCTAGCGGCTTGGTCTTCTGCTGTCGATACTGCAGACGTAGGTGTTGGAGGGATGTTTTCTTTTCTATCTTCGTGTTTTGTGTTGTCTTCTTGGTCATTATGGACACCGTTTACGCGGATAGGTGAACTTGATATGTCTTCGTCCCGATGGTCGCCGTTTCTGTGTATGGCAGAATGGATGGTAGGTGTTGTAGGCGTAGGCGGACTGTATTCGATCTGCACCGGGCTTCTCAGACCATCAGTATCGGCGTCGGAAAGATTGTGTTGACCGCCGCCGTCACTGTCATTGTGGTGGTGGTCGCTGAGGTGGGCAGACGCATCGCTCTTCCACATGTTGCGGAAGGTACGGCGTTGTCTCGCCATGCCTGATGTCTCTGGTGGGCTGCGCGGAGGCGAGGACTCGAAGAAACTGGTGTACCTGTTGCCTAGCTGCTGTACGATTGGTACATCGGCAGTGGATCCTAGGGTACCTGATCTGACGAAGAGGACCAGACCCAGGCAGAGAAGTAGGAGGGTAGATTGCACGACAGCCATTCTCTTCTGCCAGACAAGTTCGTCCGCCATTAGACTCAGACGAGTGCCTATCTCGCCGATTTCTGACTGCTGGCGCTCTTTCATACTTTCTATCTCGATGACTGTGCTCTGCCACAGCTGGTCGTACATGTTGCGGAAGCTCTTGAGTTCTAGCATGACCGTACTATTAAGATGATCCAGAAACTTCTCCGTCTTTGCCAGTTGTCTTTTTTCCACTTTCACAAACGCATCTCGAAGCGCCCGGGATTGCTCTTCGATGTATTGTAGTGAAAGCGTGCTGTTAGCTTCGAGGTACTGGAGACGCTTGTGTATCGACTTGAAGAACGATTCTTGCGTTGAGGGTGCTGGCGCATTTGGCTGTGTAGATGACCCTCGTCCTTGCGATGGCGGACTTGCGACAGTGCCGTTGTTCGATGACTTTGCTACTGGACTGCTCGAAGAAGAGCCTACTGTATTCGCGGTCTGCGTTGCAGCGCTGTCAGCTCGAGACGAAGAACTTGAAGAGTTGATCGTGGAAGCTTCAGAAGTAGGGCTCTGAGTCTGCGGGGTGGAAGATGTTGGGCTTGGCGAAGGGACTTCCAGTGACTTTGTCTCCCCACTAGCTGTACTGTTGTCGGTGGTGACTTCGTAATTGCCTGTCGCTGAAGGCGATGAGATAGACGTCAAGTCCGACGCAGACTGATGCTGGGGGTTATCAACTGGCTCCACTATGGCTGTAGGCGACGGAGGACTTCCGTATGGCACATCATTAGGAGGCGAGTCAGACTTGACGTCCGGAGAGACATCTCGCTGAGCAACGTCGCTCGCCGTTGAGGCCTCCGAATTGGTGCTGAGATCCTTCACCGCTTCGATCGGTATCTCCTCTGGCGGCAAGGGCCCACTATCCTCAGCCGCCTTCTTAACCTCAACACCCTCCGCCTCCAGATTCTCGTCATCTTCTATCCCTCTCGCCTCCTCTTCTTCTTGCCTGAACTGCTCCATCATTGTCGTACCATGAACTCGCAAAACGCTAAGCGGGCAATAGTATTCATTTCCAAACTGAGTCAGGAACTCCACGCGCAAGTATCGTGCCCAGATCTGCGGCTCGGTAATGAGAAAGGGTTGAATGTCCCTGGAATTCCGTGCCTCGAACGTGCCCAGCGTGCGCCACTTCTCCATCTTCACAGGATAGCGATCTGACACGCTCACCCTGAAATGGCGGAACATGGAGGAGAAGAACTCGTAGTTAGCGAGAACAATGGTATCCACGAGGATATCGTCGCAGAGCTCTACTATGAGGAACTTGTTGTCTGCGGAACAGATGTTCAGCATGTAGCTGTCCTTGTTCTCCACCAGGATGGAAGACGAGCTCTTCGCCTGCTTGTTGGTTTTCAACACCGTAGCTGCACAGTCGAATGAGGCGTAGTTGAAGCGCTCCTTGCACGTCTTGCCCGCATCTTTGCTGAGGGCGAATGAGTTTGGTGCGACTTTGCCCTCTCCACCAGCAGCTTTTGAGGTATCAGCGCTCTGTTTGCCGTGCTGGAAGTTGTTCGCTATGTTCTCGTCGTCCGGTGACCCAAAGCCACTGAAGTCGATAGATATCTCGCCCTCGTCGCCGAGCGAGTCTAGGGCGTTGACGTTCACGGGTCGTCGCCGTGCGGCTTGGTCTGTGCCTGCTGCCCGTCCTTGTCCGACATTTTCTGGTGACTGCCCGACCTTGGCCAGGTTCCTCTTCTTCCACTCGTCAAAAGAGAGGAAGTTGGCGTTGTCAAATGGCGAGTCTGCCTCCAAGTCAAGCTCCGGCTCTGCGCTTGCTGTGTCGCTGCTGGATGCAGTTGAGGTTGCGCCAGTCTCATCGGCCTTGGTGGCTACTGGGGTTGCGCCTTTGTCTCCTGAAATGCCCTCTATTCCTCCTTCTAAACCAGGTATTGGAGTCTGTAGACCAGCTAGAGCTCCTTCCTCAGCGCCCGTGCCATTGGTCGCAGCTGCCTCGGCGGGCGCTGACCAGCTCGTCTTTGCGCATTGCTGCGGGAGCGTATGCGTGATGTAGTTTATAGTGCGGTACGGACACGTGCTGTGACTCGAGGTGTATCTCCGGACTGAAGACGGTGACAGCGACGACGAGGACGTGGGCGAAGGCGCGGGGGTAGAGGTATGCTGCGTCGTGGCACCTGAGTGTGCAGTAGCGCTCGATTCGACGGTAGGCGCCTCATTCGCTGCCTCAGCGAGGGTGGACGCGGGTGCGCTGCATAGCAGCAGGAAGAGAGCCCAATTACGGAGCGGAGTGCCAGTCGTGAGCATTGCTTGGTTGCATTTCTTCGAGCCGCCCAGTGAAGTCGAGGAGGGACATGGGGTAGGCCAGGAGGAGCTGGGGTTGCAGGCGCGGCGTGAACAGGCGTTCGCGTTCCTCAAGACACGTTTGATTGTTTCACCGCTTGCCTAGTGAATGGCTGCGGCGCCTCCAACCTTGGAATGTTTAAGCGATGACGTTGCCAAGAGATAGAGATATCCGCCATACTTGACTCACGTCCATCACATGCCATCTGGAATGTTTGCATCTGCATGTCACTCTGCACGTCATGTTTTGAAGTTGCTCAGATGTGTAAATGCATGGTAGACATATGCAGGGTCATGACTGATAGCGTGGCACGCGGCACGCTCATATACAAGATGCGTGCTTTTCGTATAGAATTTCATGAAGCTGCTCTACCCTATGCAGCCGCAGTACCCATTAACAAGCGAGCGAAGGTCTACACCCAAACCGTACAGTCCGCCACCATCGCTCTGCAACGTCATACGCCATCATCTAGTACTCGTGTGTATCGTTATGGTGATCCGTTGATGCCGAGAGGAGAAAACGCCATACGAGAGTGCAACAAGCTGCCGATGCCCAAAATCTCGCTATGCTGTGGCATCGGGCGTAAAGGGGGTATGTCCAAAATAAGAAATCCAAGTCAAGAAACGAACGCAAACATCCAGACAAATGGCTCAAGATCCGTGTCGTGTGAGCGAGGACGAAGGCTAAGAATATGGAGGTCCAGCCGTAATCAAGGGGCCTAAAAGCCTTCGTTGCCTGCACGGCAGACCTTGGCCTCGGAGACCCATTCAGAAGCGAGCACTTGGTGCGCAGTCAGGCGGCGGGCAGGTATAGGATCGAGGATTGAGTAGATGACGTTACGACATTGTCGCTGGGGGTTGTTAGCAGAATTCCACAAATGATCTAGGCTAAGACTCACTCTTCGCAATACTTCAATGGGTCGATAACCCTCCTCCTCTTTCCGGTCCTCGAGGTAGCGGTCGAAGAACTCGTCTTCGCCTTTTTGAGCCACACGCCAGAGGTGGCGCCCGGTCCTCATGGCCATGTAGATGATGCCGCAAGCCCACACATCGACGGCACGGGGATCGAACTCCTTGTCCACGTACTCTTCAGGCGCAATGTAGGGGGCCGAGCCGCAGAGACCGGCTGTCATGTGTGCCTCCTTCTCCCAGGCCATACGGAAGCACTCGCCGTTGCCAAAGTCTGTGATTTTGATCGACCCGTGGGTGGTGAGGAGCAGGTTCTCGGGCTTCAGGTCCCGATGTGCGACTCCCATCTCGTGCATGTACTCTACACCGCGCATCAGCTGCTTGAAGAAGCAGTCTGCCTCGGCCACCTCGAGCTGGCCAGCTGCGAGGACGAGTGTGTACAGATCACCCCCAGAGCAGTATTCCATAACCTCGCAGTATGTGCCCTTCTCGTCCTGGAGCAGATCGAGCGTGGTAATGACGTTGGGATGTTGCATCGAAGAGGATATGCAGAATTCGGACGTGAGGCGCTTCTGGTACCGCTTGGCCGACTCGCCGGGTCTTTGCTTGAACTCCTTGACGGCGTAGAGCTGCTCTCGTTTCGAGTCCTTGGGGTCCTGCTTGTGTGCGACGCGGACGATACCAAAGGCACCGCGCCCGACGACCTCCTGGCACTTGCCGTACTTCTGGACCAGCGTCTGCGGGAGGGCGTTGACAGCGTTCTTCTGCTCGGCGAGCTTCTCCTTCTCGTTGCGCATGACGTCGACCCAATTTGACATGAGACTGAGCGGCTGGTCCTCGGCATTGTCGCCCTTCTTCTTGCCGAGCATGAGACTCTGGAACATGTCGGACAGCTTCTCCTGGCGCTTGGCGACCTTGAGGACGTGCTCGTGGGAGCCGTCGTCGTTGAGCCAGAAGCGCTTGTAGGGCGCGCCGGGCCCCTCCTTCCGCGTGACGGAGCCCTGGCGCACAGGCTGGGGGCGGCCGTTGGGCGAGGTGCCGTTGGTGGCCTTGACGTCGCCGTTCTTGTCCATGTGGGCGGTCTTGATGCCCATCATGCTGCTGAGGCGCGACGTCATGGTGGGCTTCTTGGGCTTGAGCAGCGCTTCGGCGGCGGCTTGCACGCTGCTGGCGCCAGACTGGTTGACGACGGGCTGGGGGAGGACGACGGTGGTGTCGGGCTGCGAGTGGACTGAAGAGGCCGTCGAGGCAGAGGCGGACGGCGAGCCCGCAGATTTGAGCGCCGTGCTGGGTGGGTTGTTGGTCGTGGGAGCCGCCATGTTCCCTGCTTTTCGTCTCTCGCTGGCCGGCGCGGCTAGGAAGTGGTGTGGGTCTTTTCTATGGGGAATATGGGTTTGGAGACGCAGGTGTCTCGCGGGCAAAAAGCCCAGGTGCTGTTATTGTACGGCGGTCAAAACGGCGTATCTGCGTCGGCGGGTGGTGGTGGAGATGAGGTTCGGAAGGCGCGCGTGGGGCGATTTGTAGTGCAAAAACACGGTGACTGTGAAGGAGTCGTCGCCAGGCGCGAGCGGGCAGGTCGGGCAGGCGCGCGCAGTGTGAAAGGCGTGGGCGGGCTGACAAACGCCGTCGCGGTGAGGTCTGGGGCGGCTTCAAATTGCGTCCACCACGGGATCCGGAGCCACAGCAGAGTGGCTGTGCACGCGTGCCGAGCAAATGCGGATCAGCGGCAGATGATGTCGTGGGCTGGGCTGGGCGAGGGCACAGTGGCCGGTATCCGCGATGGGCAGCACGACAGCGAGCGCGGCGGGCTTGGGGACTAGGAATCTCGGAATCTCTTCACGAGGCCTGACGTCTAATATTCAACTAATATTCAGGTGTGCGAGGGGTAACCCATGGGTCAGTGTGCACTGCCTCGAAGCCGTGTACGTCTTGACGCAACAGGCCTGGCTTGCGCGATTTTCATCTTCTTCATGTACGCCAGTCGTCGCAGTTGACCGCTGCAATCTCACAAGTGTGCGGGCCATCGGCGAAGAAGCCTTGTCCTAGCAATGACAAGAAACGGCACATGCTTAGCTGTCTTTATTGTCGACGCTATTGCATTACCATATACTGCTGGCTTCAATAACAGTAAAACCCATCTCATGGCTTACAGTGTATGAGCTCACAGTGGAGCGTTGCCAGCTTGCCTTCCTGCTTCCACTCGCTGACGTAGGGCTACCATTAAATTCGTCCTGAGACATATTCCCAATCCGGAGCATGTCATCTTCCCACTACCATCTGACTGGTTTCTGCTCCCACCAAGCACTGTGACGCACCATCAGGGCCCCTTCCATGATCCCGTTTGTCACCACTTCTCCATTCCCGAGGTCCGCCGAAACATGCGCCGGCAAATACTATCGTCGAGCCCAAGCTAATTCCATCAAGCGCTGCTGCACCTCGGTCCTGTCCCGCACAGCTTCACAAATGCTTGGTCAGCCACTCTCGACACTGGTCAATGAGGAGAGGTCATCTCATGCAGCAATTTCCAAGGACCGCACGAATTACAGAGCCTGAAAACCTTTGTTTACATCTCATCAACTATTATTTACACTTCCGCGATACACAAGGAGAGGGGCACTTCCTCAAACCTTGTGCCCCGCATTGCAGCCATGCAGCAACCTGAGATGGCGCCCCTCATCGTCTCCTCCCCACCACTCCCAATCCACTTCACCATGCACACCGCAACTCGCTACACCAGCCCCATGCATCGCAACACTCCTGGTACCCTCTCCCGACCACTAACAAATACCGCAGCTGCCGCTCCAAGTCAAAGGGCGAGCTGTCGTGCAGCAACCTCGCTGCATCCTGCAAGCCATTATGCACCAACGGCTACAGCTGCTCCATCCTCGCACTGACCTCTTATTGCCCTCTACGACGGAAGGAACCATTCACTCGGATCTACACAATACAAGGTTGCATCTAGCCAGGACCCTTCTTATTGGTCGCGGCGTATACTCTGGAGTCGTCTCAACTGCCCTTCCTAGAGGCCACGCTACGCGGATTACCGCGCACTCGTCATTTCTCTGCCGTAATCTTGGGCTGCGGTTGGCATGCGCGTGATCGACTTCGTAACGTGTCTTGTTGTTCCTTCGCCCTGCAGTCTCAGGCACACTGCTCGGAACAATAATGCGCTCAAATCGACCTTCGTGGCAATGATCGGGCCAAGATCTTCGCCCCATGCTGAGCGCTCAACGGTCAGCAAGCACCAGTTGGCACTTCACCCGCTGCCGTCAGGTAACACACGACCAGGCTCCTATGTGGATTGACTCGGCCCGGGTAAGCGGGCGATTTGCAGTCGCGTTCCTGACTTGCTGCGCGACTCGAAACGACATCTGCTGCTCGTGGCGGCTGAACTCACTGTGATTGGCTAATTCACCCCAGAGGATAGACTTTACACACGCGACGCAAGTACCCGCACGTTCGTTGGATGCTGGTTCATCACACTGACCGCGACTTACGCGAATTTCGGATCCGGCTGTACGGGTAGTGCCCTGACATAGGGCCGGTACCTCGAGAGAGATGGATTACTCCACGTGCCGTGGCTGATGGTAGGTACAACGACCACGTTTGAAAGAAAACGATCAACGATAATGGAAGTCGGTGAAGAAGCAAACAACATAGCTTTTGACATAATCTCATCATCCTCGGCGGTCCGATCGCAGCATTCAATAGGCACGCTCTATGGCTTAGTTCGGCGACCTCTACTGGTCTCCCAACCTGACGAGCAGCTTGAACAAGCGTTTGGAGGCGTCGATCAGATGCAGCGAGTTTATGCCATCGTTCCTGTACCCACGGCTATTGTAACAAAAGTATTGCTCATCGCTATGCTATGGAGTTTGCCCTCGTGACAGCAAAAACTCCATATTTCGTATCGTTCAAGTTCTTTGACTGACTTGAAATGAGCTGATGGAAGCACTATGTGCAGCCACTTTCTTTCTGGCGTCATTTAGCACAGCGATTACTTTCCACATAGCCATTTACATGTATCAGTCATAGACGACGATCCTGGCGCTTGC